TAAAGTAGAGGGGAAAAAAATAGTATAGAAGTTAATCTCTCTCTTTAAAGATCAGATAGATATTATTCATGCGTCATTTACGTCTAACCGGCTGAGAGTATTTTTTAAATGTCATAGTATGGAGTTCACGGACGTTAGGTTTAGCTTTGTGAGAGAGACTGGGTTCCCGTAAGCTTTTTATACATAAGAAACGTTCCCTTTGTGGATCTAATAAACATAGAAGCTTGACATTTACAGATTTACGGAAGGCACGCGTGCAAAGATTTTTGTTTAAAAAAAACCAGACGATATGTCTCGATGTAAACGGAAAATAATATCGAAGAAAATTAGCTGAAATACAGAGAATTATCTTAATTTAACGGAAAATATATATAGATACTCTTTTACCTTGTTCATGAAGGGACTTCCTCGAAAGATTAACAATAAGCTTTCTAGTAAACTAAACAATAGTATGAGATAATATCGTTTATATTCTGCTCCGCTGAATTTGCGCGGCGAACTTTAGATTTACGTCGTTTTGCGCAAACGTTGTTTAATTAATCACCTTTAATTATGTACCGACATCACGTCGTTACGAACCTCACGATTTTCACCGTCGGCGACGTGATTTCCGCAAATGAAGCATCCTCCTGACTGCACCGTATTAAAGCACGTCGCATTCTATTCTCTGTTTTGCGGTTAAATGCGCCGCGTATCGAGACTTTAGCTAACAGTTTCCTAGTGTGTTATCGTTCATTTAATGGCATCATCATATTTCAAGATCTGCTACATTGAACACGTTTTACCATTCTCAAACGATCGTTAATGAACCTCAGTGCTAAATTATCCAAATTTCTAAAGAGTTTCTGCAGATTTAAAATTTTTTTAATATTAATTTTTTTAGTAAAACGTTTTCTAAAAAATTCAAAAAAGAAACGAGAGCGGATTAAACTTTAAAATTATTCTATTTATTTCATATAAAGTTCACACGAAGTCTAATGAGTTTAATAACCATTTTTTATCGTGCATTAAAAACTATTCAACGCACATCTTGAAAGCTATAAATAATAAACTCTCTGTTGTGTCTTATTCTAAAAATAATCTCGAAAATTTATATTTTAAACTGGCCTAAAGTTTTAGGTCGACATTCATATATAGTCGATACTTTATAAGTACATCAAGACTATCTTAAATTCAATTGCGCGCTTTCTATTTATATCAAAACTCAGATAATTCTCATGTGACGTCATAACTCGATTGAACGCATGTTTCTTTTCATTCTCTGACAAGTAAGATTCAGTTCAGTTTTTATTATTTATAATCTGCACAAGTTCGAGCATGTGATTTACTGAGTCTTGTTAACCTATATAAAAAGTGAAGTTATACACTTGTGATGTTATGCGATAATTTTGTCACTAAAGTAAACAAGTAATGACGTCATTACCTGAGTATAAAATACTCACATAACTTTAGATTTACTGTATTTATAATCAGGCTTTAAAGCTTCCTTAAATATAAGGTCTGATTATGAACATTACAGACATTATATATAGTATCACTTGTATGGGAAGCAAATTGGTATCTTAAAATGTTAATACGATCCTGAAACTGGTGACATTTTAAGAGTGCCTTAAATATCAGATTCATATATATATAACGGCCTTAATCTCTCCTAACTGACAATCTCAAGCAATTTGAAGTTTATTTATATCAGAAGATTATGTAGATTTCACTCATGATTGCCAGTTCTCGGATTTCCGACCGGAGATTTCGGTCTTTTTGAATCTTCGGTTCTTTGACTGGCAGAAAATATTTGATGACGTTTTTTTTTTACATTTTTAAAAGAACGCATTTCAGTACAGTAATAATTTTGAAAGTATCATAAAGTACCTTTTGAAAATACTTAGCAGTCCGATCTTTGACAAGATAAATGAAATCTTGAGTTTTTAAGCCGGAAAAAACTGACAATCATAATTACACTGAGAGAAAAACTTTTTGGTAATTGTAACTATAATTATATATTATTATAATTATAAAATTCAAATAATATAATTATATAATAATGATTGAAATTACCATAAACAAATATTCAAATAACTATAATTATTATCAATTTCCATTGCAAATTATATATATTGACTGATAGAACTACACGTATAGTTATTATTACTAATACTGTTAGTAGTCATAATCATAATTTTAATAATACGTAATTATAGTTACACTGAAAGAAAAGATTGACTGCTGCAGCAAATTAGATAGTAAAATATGGCATAGCATTTTTAATTGGTTGCAACTGCCAATTTTTGATTGCTGCAGCCAATTGTTGGTTGTGTTAACCTGTCCGCAATGTATAGGATTTCGATTGACTAACGCAACCAAAAATTGCAATTAAACAATAGCCAATTAAAAATGCTATGCCATATTTAACCATCTAGTTTGCTGCAGCAACCAATCTTTTCTTTCAATGTAATACCAAAAAGTTTTCTCTTAGTGTAGATTGTTATTAAGTTTCGGAGTCGCACAAAAAGAAAAGATATTTCTCTCTTCTCGCGTCAGACAAATTCGGTTCCGAGAAAGAATTGAAGAAGTATATAAATGAAGGACTCACCATCTGCCAAATATCGCCGTCCAGCAACAGTCACCCGTCTTGATTCACCCGTTGCGTCGAGTCATCGATGCTCCTCAATGCAAATGCTCCACTCAATCACATTACACTCGCGCAATAAACCGGCACAATGAAGCGATTGTGTCCGTAGATTTATCCGGCACTTCTGATCGATTCGACGAAACATGATCGACGTTGATCATAGGTAATGCAACACGATCGCGATCGTCCACAGATCCTCTCGACTTTTGTCACGCGGCGACGCGTCCTCTCGACGTGAAAAATTCCGAGAAGTGGCGGACCGACAACAATCATGGCGGACACGAATGCCGATCGTTTATTGCAGGGATTACTCGATCGCCTCCTCTTAATCCGCCGTGACAGCTATCTCCTCAGGTTCTTTCCCTCGACGTGACGCTCCACAGATGTTGAATGACACTCGCGACGCAGGACGAGCGGAGCGATACCGAATAGGCGCACGTTTGAAAACATAAAACACTCTCGCGTCGGTTCAATAGAACGCAAAGCGACGTCGATCGAGGACGAATTTCACGAATATCGAGAAATGCATCATTCACTCGGATGAATCGACGCACCGAAACAATCCCCTGTCGCTAGATTAAACATTCCCGATACTGCCTCGTATGCGAAATTCATTCGCTAGATAAACAAACACGAAAGCGCGGAACGACCACAATTCATCTTCGTACCGGTGACGGTGATGACGCGCGGTGTGAAGTGAGCGGTGCATACGAAATTCGGTTACGTGATCGCGAACAACTTCGCGCGTCTATCCGAAGTCTCTTAGCGCGTCAATTCGAATTTTCTTAAGATTCTCCGCGCACAGGACATTCGTAACGCATTATCGGTCTATAATGGGAGAATATTGTATAGTAAGCCGTAAGTTGTAAGAAACTGACTAAGGGCTGCCGCACACAAAATTACGCAACAATGATCGTAAGACGTAATCTTAAGCCGATGATAGTCGATTATTCTTCTCAATCGTAATTGGTCGATTTCGTACGCTTTACGAGTTATTACATCATATTACTCTCACTGTAGACTGTCCTTTATATTACGTTAAGTAATAAGTACTGAATCGTAAACTGAAACCTGTACATAATAGTAGTCTTACAACGCATAGAGGAAATTGTAACATAATGTTGTAGTAAAAATATTACCTTATAAAATAATGTGTAAAAACTTAAGATTTTAAGATATTTTTTAATTAATTTTTTAATTAATTTTTTATTTAATCCTTCAATTATATTTTTTTAATTAAGAAGGAAGACTGTGAATGTTAAGGTATTCCCTTCTATGATTGTTACAAAAGAATTCAATTTTGTTAAACAATTGTTTTTAGTACTCAACAATTCCATTTGCGAAGCTTAATATAGATTTTATACATATATAGATTCGTAAAGTTTCAATAAATAATATCCCACTTGTCCTAGCTGTTTACAAAAGAACTATCGAATATTACTTTTAAAAACAAAATGGAGAAACGACAATCTTCTATACATTTTCTCTAGTTTAATAGTTTAATATTAACTTTATTTTTTATTCTCTAATGTAAAATATTCCAAAAAATCTGTGTAATTCAGCGCAATATCACAACGAGGAAATTGCGATAGTAAATAATAATTCAATGCTTCGTCAAATATGAACTTTTCGTGTCAAGGGGATTAAATCGACCCATTACACAAATTCGAATTTGCGTATGGTATTGCATAAACACTATTATCATGATCTAGTGGAAATGTTTCCACTCACAATATTTTGCATTTTTTCTGGTTGTCATATGACGTATCAATTTTCGCTATTGCATTGTATGCATGAAAGTCATTTATTTTGATGAAAAGAATCGAAGCTATAACACACAAAAAATTCAAGCAATAAAACGTAAGCAATAAACAAATTACCATTTTGGATTTACTGCTGCTTACATATTAATTATTATCTTACAGTCTCTACTGTGATTGGTGATTTGCTTACTGCTTGTCTTACATTTTCTTTTGTATCATAGCTCTAAAATCATACAACATAAAAGAATCACGCCTTTAAACTGAATGCCGTATTAAATGCCTTTAAAATTTTAACGTTTGATAAATCCAACAAATTCTCTAACAAATCGATTGTGTATAATTCATTGTTAGAACATCAAATACATATATATATTAGGTATTTGTGTTTATTAAATCACCAATATGTTGTTACTAGAATACGATTTAGTAATTTAACAATTTATCAGTGCGTATTTAAAATTTTTTTTTAATATTTCCAAATAGTAATAAATACCAAATGTTTCAACAAATTTCAAATAAAGCGATAGATTATTCAATTTGACTATGTTCGACATATACGTATCTGTTTAATGATTAAAGATTAATGGCAAAAACATGTCCAATTTTAGCCCTGCGATATATGGTCGATGGGGATAACATTATACGTGCTCGTGATCGGAGATCTTCCTTGGCGCGCTTCCGATAGTACAGCCATTCAAGAGGTCGTTCGTTCGAAACCGCTCATGTTCCCTGATAATCGCTTATCTTCGGAATTGCGATATTTAATTGAGGGAATGCTGGATAAGTCGCCGGAAACCAGGCTCATACTCCCGAAAGTAAAGCAGCATCCGTGGCTGACGAATAACGCAACCGAACCACTGCCGGCCGAGGTCGACAACTGCCGCTTACGGGTCACCGTCACCGAGGAGGAGGTCATAAGACTCGGCACTCTGCTTCTCGTAAAAAATATGCTGAAACAGCACAGCTTTCAGGTGAGCGGAGAGTATATATATTCAACTCTATAAATACGACAGTAAAATTGCACCACAAAAGAAATGAAAAACGAAGACGTAGAATTCAAAATTAATTACGCTAAATTTGACATTTTTTCTTCCTGTCCTTTAACCGCGCGATATTTCTGATTAATTTTAGTAAACAACTACGAACTAAAATACTGAATATTTATTGTGTATTTGTTAAAAAAATACGAAACTCATTTTTCTTTTTCCTTAATGACTGTAAATACACAAGTAACACAGTTACATTCAAAATACATTTAATAAATGTTAAAAATCGTGTAACAAAACGTATAAAGTAAAAAATAAAAAACGTTTAAAATTGATGAACGTTTTTTAAACTATTTAATAAACGTTATAAAAACGTTTATAAAATATTTATTGTAACCTCTATTAAACTTTTTTGTTACTAGTTTAAAATACCATTTTTATATGAAACATTTCGACAGTTTAATAAATACATATTTAATAACATTTATTGAATATTTTTCTACATAAAAAAACGTTTCGACTAAACATTTTTTAAACGTAAATTATTTATCTGGATACTAATACATCTACGATTATCATTAATACCTATTATTTCACGCATTCAAATGTAGGGAGCGATTTGTGTATGCCGTGTATGGAATGCCAATTATGATGACTATCAAACAACAGTTGTTTGCGTACTCTATTACGATACGATTTGCGTTCATCAAAACGCGAAAGCGGAGATACGTGCGTCATAATAGAAAAATTGAACGGAGTAAACGTACAATCGTTTTCGCGAAATGTCGCAACAGCATATTCTGACATGTTTGACTTTGACATAACGACGTGTACCCGCGTAAATATTACACGACGATTTCGACGGGTACATGTCGATAATGTTGTATAGTTGTATCATAGATTTCGTTTTACAAAGAGCGAAAAACTAACGGTGACATTTCGCGCAACCGTTTCACTCGTACTCTCTAATAATAAATAGTTACCGAAAGCGATCAATCGACAAATGTCGAAGGTCGATCGTTTCAACATATTATCGGATTACACCGGTTTTTTTATAATCTATATAATTTATCTATACATTAATAATGCTTTTATAGTGCTGATATAGATATTTTATTGAGCACTCATCGTAAAATGTTAAAGATTTCGCAAGAACCCAGGTAGCAAGCTACGTCATTTTGTCGTCATTATGACGTCAAATGATGTCAGCTTGCTACCAGGGAAGGAACTTCCTTAAAATACAATCTACTTTAAATCTCTTAAAGTGAAAATTGAGTCTTTGAAAAGAGAATGATAATATTTTCACCCTTATGAAAAAGAGCGGCAGATTTTCACTCTTGGAATGAGATTCTCTCTACGAAATCTTACTCCAAAAGAAGGAGTGAGATTTAATTCCTTTGGAGTGAATCTCACTTCAAACGAGTAAAATTTCACTCCAAAAGAATGAAAATTTCCCACTCTTTTTCGAAGATTGGCTCTATTTTCAGTCTTTTGGAAGAAAATTTCACTCTAACAATAAGAAACTTAGAGAGTCGACATATAATTATTCACTGTACTTTTAACTCGTTTTTTAAATTTCTGACAGAGCACAAGAATCGAATAAAAACCACGAAAGAAAGTAACAATGAAAATAGTCAACTTTAAGTTTTGTATAAGCTTTTCTTGAGAATGCAGATGGAAAAACAGACAATCATAATTTTAGTTAAAAATGTATTTGGATGATTTCAAGCGTGTAAAACCGTATTCTTACACTCAAACTAACGTCTACTTTTCACGAACTGCTTTCCCCTTCTTCTATTATTCATATGCATTGAGACTTGCACAGGCGACCGACTATTTGAAACAACGTCACATTTTTATTGCTGATGCAGACAGCCAGCTTGCGAACTTTACGAGAGAAAACTCGACAGCTTGTCTCTCGGGATTACTAGGGCATAAAACGGAGAAATAAAAGCGCGAACTTATTTCTACTTTCCAGAATCCATTTCTGCCTAAGCGGCTCGGACGGACAGCGGACAACGACGCCGGCACAGAATCGCCGGCGACAGGACCAAAAGTCGGCGTATCATCCTCGCCACATAGTGATGCGATGAGAGATGCGAAAGCAGAACGTTTTCACGAAGCCGGGAGAAGCAATTCCGCGCCGGATTCCTACGATTGGCACACAAGCGGCAGGTAAATACGCGCGCGTTACGCTATTTAGGAAGAGGAAAAGGGAGCCCTACATATATTTTTCAAATACCATTTCAAATTCTCTTGCACCCGTTATGTACAATAGAATTCTATTTAATGGAATTGTTTATTTGTTGAAACAAGCATTTGCAGAAACAAATATTCGACAGAGGATTTTTTCTCGAACGATCTGTTTAGAATTTTTTTATAAATATATGAATATTTTCTGTATCTACGCAAGATATTTCGAATTTGTAAAATGCAGTCGAATTTATAAAATGCATCGATACTTTATTTATATTAAAAACAAGCGATAATGAGAAATTTATTTTTGTACATCGAATAAATCGCGCGTGGCTATAACTCATCATGTATTATAAATTGACCGATAGTGAAAAGCATAAATATACAACGAATGCAAAAACATTTGTATAGGAGTAATATTTATAGAAAAAGCTTTATTTGTAGAAAATAAACAAGATTATTAACGAGCAATTTATTAACAATGAATATGTTTTGTTCTAATATAAACAAAAAAACTTCACGAAATAACCGTGTTTATAACTTTAGAATCTGAATTTTTCGACTGTATCGAATGCTTTTTATGTGTCCAAGTAATACAATTTTTCATTTTTGTTTATTTGTATAAAATATAATTATATTTTAATTATTTCATTACATATTATTAAGCTAAATAATTTTAAGAAATATACGACCAATTTATTTTTTATTAATAAATTGCTAAAAAAAATTAATTGTTTATTTTTCAAAAAATTAATTTTTTTGAGAATATTTTCCTCGGATGTGAATAATTTTTGTACTCACTGTACATACACCTCAATATTATTCTCTTTTGTTTTTAATAAACTTCCTCCTTAATTAATTTCTCCTTTATTTACATATTGGCAGACAATTATCGTTGGAAAATCCCTTATCGCCTGTGACGGAAACCGAGAGGAGATAGTGTCACTGTCGATAGAAGTAGCACGGAACATCCCGATTAAAAGAAACAGACCAACATCAAATGGAAGATAAATTAGGATTGATCATCGATCGGGTATATCCAGCAGGGTGAGCAACCGCGATATCAAAAGGCGAAATCGTCGAACGAACCAACGAAAATTTAATCTTCTAGAGAACTGTCGTTATCGATTTCACTCTCGTCGCTTGTATCGTCAAACCTACGGGGCACTGCCTTCAGTTTTGCAGGTAAGAGCTCCGTGAGTTATTTATGAATACACGAAAATTCCTAACCGGCGAGGCTAACGGTAAAGCGGATCGAGGACTTGCTGGAAATGTTTCTGCTAGATGTTTTTATATGAGTAAAAATGTAACGTCGCATTTGAGCGTTCCGCATTGTATTACAGTGATATTTAGTGATCGTTATTACTTGACCATGGTAGAATAGGAAGTATGTTATTTACAATTGATCGTTGTGTGCATAAACAGCTCATCGTACAATCCTCAAAAGAATATGGAAGCATTATTATTACATTTACTTCGCTATTGACTGCCAATATTCTCTATTTAAATAAAAAGTCCGGCAAATTTGACGACTACAACATGCTAACATTTAATATAATCGACCAAATATTATTTCGTTCTGCTTTTTATTCGGTAATTTTTAAAAACAATTTGTATGAATAATGAAAAACTGACATGAAAAAAGATATACGTATCACTAGGTCACTTTATTAAGATTGATGACGCGGTCAAATATTTATAAACGTTATTATAAAGCACATGTGTAAAATTGAGTAAGGTAACAAAATGTAGATAATACATTTGCAGAGGGTGATCCGAAATTGAAACATGCCTCGCCGGAGGTTTTTATTCCATTGATGTTATAAGGAACTCGTGCCCGACGCGCACGTTTGTAAATAATTTCAAAATTTAAAGTTATATATACCTATCACCAATCCAGTGCTAGAGAGAACCATCGAAAAAAAATATTTTATATTTTATATTTTTTTTTTTTACATTATAATATAAAAATGTTAAAAGTCTAGCACGAGTGACATGCGAATTAAAAAAAAAACTGTTCTCTTTTTTTTATAAAACTCGTTTTTGCTCTACTAGTTGCCATGCTCAATATCGATAAAATTCAAGGTGAACATCCATCTTACAAATACTCATTTGACTCACTTAAAAAAATTCTATCATAATTTAAATAAAATGACAAAAAATAGAATATTTTATGTTTATTGTCAATTTGAATATTTTCTATTAGATTCTATCTGCAAATATTGAATGTCATGATAAATTTACAAATTGCAAACATATTTTATGAACACGAAAAATATGGAACAAGAATTTAACGAAGAAGTTCTTTGCGTTAGTAAAGAACTTGTGTTAGTAGAGAGAGAGAGAGAATATTTAATGATTTAAACAAAACAGAACAAAAACGAACTATGCATAAAGTCAAAAAATTCATGAAGGTAATTTTTTAAATACATAAGTACAAAAAAAAGAATATTTCTATAATATTTTTCTGATTTTCAACCAACCATATATGGTTCTCTTCTGAACTAGATTGATGAATAATAGATAAGATTGGTCGTTCCAAGGATATGAGTAAGACCTCTTGCACGCGAACGATTTTTTGGCTTTGCAAACCATTTGAATACACACACGAGAATCGAAAGAATATCTTGTAAAATAGTTAACTTTAAAGAAATTAAATACTTATTTAAAATATTTATATATATATATAACATTATATTTTTTATGTTGTTATTATTTCATATATTTTAAAATCTCGTGTACAAGATTATTTCTTCTTCTTAATTTACATGTCGTACAATCTACTTGTATTTGATTGTTCGGCAATCATTTTATGCAGAATGAGAATAATTTCTCTAAAATCAATATTCTTTCACTACTCCTGTGCAAATCGCGCATTAACATGCATGTTTTACATATACCTTGTGATATATACGTTGTGAAAAGGAAACACATTGCATTTTTAAATCATCGCGATAAAATAATCTCTCCTGTTCGCTAATAATAATAATATATCTATTCGCATATGCAAAGCATTTTATCGAATCAACAAATTTTCTGCTGTAAAATAATCATGTGGCGAAAAATCATTCATGTGCCTGAAGTCTTATCGTTATAAGTGTCTTTTGCAGTCCACTTATTTCCATTTACAAGGGCGCATAGGTTGCATAGATACATAACGTAAAGATGTGCGTATATATATATATATAATTCGTATTTTTTAAAAAGTAGGCATGTAAAAACGAAAGCCCGCAGTACAACGATGTCCTTCTTCAGTTAGTGCCATTAAATATACGGATGAGCTTTTGTTTAATATTAAATTTTATATTACATAATTTATATACATCATTTATGATATTGATTTTACATATTTTTATGATTATAGACTATTACATAATTTGCATAATTATATATTTATACGTATAAAATTAAATAATATATATAAATTATATAATAATATAATAAACAACGTAGGTCCCGTTCGTTTAGGTGTATATGGTTTAATAAAACTTTAAGTTATAATATTTACACAAATTTAACCTTGAATTCTGCTTATTAGAATAATAAAATTATTAAATTGTAATTTATAATTTTACAATTAAGTTACGTTTTAAATGGATTTTGTTTTAACGTCTAATAATAGTACTTTAATTATTCAAAAGATATTTGTTACATGAACGAACATTTTTTATTAAAAATGAGATATCTTTTAATTATTTTTTTATTTTTGAAACTTTGTTGAAGTTAAATTATAAATTATTTGTAATTATAAATGATTTGATTAAATTCAATATGTCGTATTCGAAGTTTTCATACTCACGCTGACCAAGAAAAGGCAAACCAAAGAGAGATTTGTGATTTTGTCGAACCTTATTGAGACACGGGGGACCATAAACGTATGAATTTAAGAGATAGCTTTCAGAGCTCACACAGCAGCGGACAGTTTGAAACATATCGTGTCCCGAGCCTCACGCACATCGCAATCTATTTCAGTGTATACAATTGCCATACGGAGACTGTGACGGACTTATTAGTAGATAAGAATAATTATTGTCACGTATTATCGAGCGTACGCGTTTTCACAACTTTTATTTGGCCATGGCAATTCCAAGTCTGTGCAAATCAATAGCATCCTCTATTGCACAGACCAGGAATAACGAGCTTTATGAAAGTGGTGAATTAATCGCCATGAAGGAAAATAATATACATACACTTCCTAATATGTTTTTACGTTTCCTAGATATATTCAGCGCCTCATGAAATGAGATCTGCATTGCATCGTCATGTGATTAATTCTGAATACGCTTGTCTAATTGAAAACGTAGGCAGCTACATTTGGAATTAAAGGAGAGGATGCTAATATAGATCTAGGAATCCTTCCAGGAATATCGGATGAATTGTCTATTGATAGTAATTATGCTTAAATTATACGTCATGTCTAATATTAGATAAATGTAATATTAATTATTCTGACAATAGCTCTACTATATATTCATCTTTATATTATTTTATTTTACAACTATTTTTTAGCAAAAGAGTTTTACAAAATTAAAAGATTAATTAATTGTATGTACTTTGATGCAAATTGCTGTCTGTAGACATTTCTCCGAATTGTTACGGGTATACAATTATTGTTATTTAAACGGTTATAGATATATATATATATATATATACATATATATATATATATACATTCGTATGTGCATTTTACACAATGCGATATACTCTTTATCACAGATTGCACAGGATATTTTGTACCCGGTATTAGACGCGCACTACGTTTCTAAATCTCTCTGTAATTAAATATAGCGTATACACACTTTATGCAGATTAAGTACACTTTAAACTAGATAGATAACTATATCAAACGATTTAGATGTGACGAATCTCCACACTCGATATGGCGACCAAAAGTTCTTGTGATGCTCAATCGAGGCATTAATAGTTAATTAAGAAGTTTGTTTTTACTCGACAATCAATATACTACGCGTACATGTATATTATTTCGATACATTTATTCTCGCTCTATAATTACAAAATCCTTTTGTTGTCAATTTTTGAAAATCCACGACTCTAGATTCTATGTCTATAGGAACTTAAACTGCAAGTTTCATCTTTTTAACACTTTTCTTATTAGATGTTACACGCTTCGATTATCTCTCTTACTAATGTTAATTCCGAAATTTTACAAAATTTAACTTGTTAAATAACAAGTTGCGATTTATGATTCATGTATCGCAATAACTTAAATATCGTGCAATCCACATTGAAACATCGGTCTTTTCTCTCGATTAGATTGATGATATAAATGATACAATTAATTTCTATATGTACACATTTACGAAATATAATAAACTATCTTCAATATTTCAAAAAGGATTGCACGATGCCGCGATTATCACGCATAAAATTCCTGAATTAATAAACAATTTAAGGTATGCGCGAACAAGAAGCAGTTCTGCACCTTAAAAAGATTGTACTGTCTTACTATTTGCTATATCTATGATAACTTTTCACCGAGTTTTCGCTTCTAGTTACTTGCGATCGATTGGGAAATTCATCGTGAAAAAGATCGAAATTATTCTTATGCACATTTGTAGTAACTAAGTACTGTAATTGCTCGTCTGTGTAATAAATCCTTTTTATCTTTCCATTAACGTCATTTGCCTGGTAAAACTCGACTCAACTATTAAATCTTTCGTGATTTATTCCCAAGTGCTACTGATCTCTCTCGCGCATCAGCCCCTTTCATTAAGCTAACGTAGACGCGTAAAAATTTTAACGATCCACTTTAGCACACTCTGCTACTATTTTCCTTCCTCCTGTTTTTTCTTGCTTTAATTGAAACCATCATCTTCGATAATATCCCTTACTCTTTATATATTACCAAATCGATACGTGATGATCGAACGAACTCGTAAGCAAAGACATTACTTAGTCGTGTCTCACACGATCGATTCATATTTTACATTTTAATGCTCGCCAGCCACAGCCAATCAAACCACAAAGATTTTATTGTCGGCAAACTGGTGAATAAACGAATTCCGTAGAAATTTGAAAGACTTTTTAGAAAGACAGGTAACTTTTCCTTCCTTTATATCTTGCATCTGAGTGTTCAAACATAAATGTAAAAAAAAAAATACAAGATCAGCTTTTTTATCAAGACAGATATAACTAGTTCGCAATTTTGTACAAAGGAATTCAAATAATTTGAACGTGATTGTAACATAACCGCCAATGATAAGCGTAAAACTTGCCCTTTAGGGTTCTTATTGTAAATTTATACTACATAAATATATACAATACACATATATTTTACTCTCATGTATATTCTATTATCCACAAATGTGCCCGTTTTGTTAAATAAATCACGCATTCTGATGCCATCAGAGGCAAAAACAAAAACATTTTTCGAAATTTTATTTCCTCCCTATGAATACCGCGCTTGGCATTTTACGAAAAGACGTGATATATGCGATTTTATCCGCTAAAAAAGCTATCGGATGTAGTCATTTCAGCGTTTGCGTTCGATGCACATGGATTAATACGAGATGCAATCCATCAATTTTCGCACTATACGAATTTCAATATGATGAAGCGATGACGTGCTTGTGGCAATACCTTGACCTGCCATAAAAATCGGGGAGCTATATCGTAAATCGCTCGGACAAGCCGAGCCGATTTGGCCGCGAAGCAACCATGCGTGCCGCGACTATCAATTTCATTGGGCAACTCTATGCCGATTGCTCGCAGAGGCGCAGGCGAAAGACAATGGACACACAAGCCACGAAAGCCAATCAATCGTAATGCACGTTTACGCTCTTGCACTGTAAGTATAAAAAGGTTTTGAAATCGAAGGGGGCCTTCATTCGATCGTCCGGACTGTGCAAGGAAGTCATATCGAAAAATATTTTCTCCGAAATATGAAGCTCTTGGGATACTGTCTTTTTTGCGTAAGTACCTTAATTAAAAAAATTAATTAATTCCAATTTATTATACATTCGTCGAAATGATAAAATTTTTCTTAATTTTTAAATTTTTTGCGAACGCTAATAGAAAGCTCTTTTAATGTTAAATAAAATATTAAATTCTCATTAATAAGTAAATATATTTAATAAAATATTTAATTCTAATTTTAAATATCAAATATAAAAATATTAAATTCTTCCTGCTAATAGACTTTCTGATAAAAATTTTAAAAAGATTTATGAAATAGCTTCCGAAAGTGGTTATCAGAATATTATCATCTTTGTTAATTGATGTTAATTCTACTACAATTTTTATAATTTATTATAAATTTAAATTGTACCATCTTTTCATTTCTAATTAATTTTATCTATAAGTCGCTATTTTCATAAGATTATGGTTTTCTACTATCAATACATCCGCTAAAATTTACATTAAATTAAAGTTTTTCAAAGAATCTTTTTACGATCAATTTTAATAAAACATTAAACTTTTGCTGATCACTAAATCAAATTTTACATAGAATTTGTGCTTGACGTAAAAGTCAAGTTGAACCTTTTAGTCACTTTCTGTTACGGAATATTTTATCAAATGAACTTCCAAACAGCACCGGAAAGAATATCGTATACGAAAAACTTAATAATTATTTCCGCCTCACAGTGACAGGTTTTTTTGCAGTAAATAGTATTTATTCTTAATCAGAGCATAAAAATCGCCAGTTGCAATCGCGATTGCTAACTTATAATTTTCATGAAAATGAAACTACTGCACAACAACTGATAGATTCAGTGAGTGGACGTATTGCAATGCACGATTATGTATTGTATCACCTGTCCGCAGTATATTACCACATCACATCCGATAAAACTCATTTTATAAAGAAGATTCACCCGACTGTTGAACAATATTTCTGAGCCTGACTATGTTCATTTTTTAGAGAAACCTAGTAATCTCTAATAAATCAATTTATTCTGATTAAATTACTCTGATTAAAATAAAGATAGAAAAATTTTGTAATTTTTGTTATAAATTATATTTAAATATATTTAAATGTTTAAAAAAATGCTTGTGTCAAGACATATAAAATCATAAACTCCCGTATCTTTTAATGTATCTCGCAGCTCTTCGCCACGAGAGTGCAATCAAAGCCACAAATAACGAAGCTATTTCCAGTGGAAGGATTGACGGCATATCATAAACAATTTAACGATACCACGAAATCGTTAGATAAATTTTTTGAAAAACTACGCACAACATACAATTTTGTTTTCCATCAACCCGATAACACCAGCAACGTAGAAAAAATCCTAGCGAAAAACGCATCGGATCCTAATTTGCAAGCTTTGAGACTAATATGGACTGACACGTTAAAAGCAGATAACTATACAAATTTCAAGTATCCCAACAATACCTTTCTAGATCAGATAAAGTCACTGTCGATACCAAAAAGTCGTGACAGCAAGGCGACTTCGAGTAATCTCAAGAAAGATTCATCCGTTGAAATGAAAACAAATGAAAATAATGTGAGCTCTACGAACTCCAATAAAAAAAGTTCTAATAAAGCTAAAATACTACCTGACGACGATTGGTTCAATGACATTCAACCTTTGGAACAACTGGAATTACAAGACGAAGAGCTGGATAAAAAAAATGAGGTGGAAAGCGTGACGCCAGGAACGACCCTTCCGACGACGGTGGGTCGTCATCTGCTTGAGTGGCTTGGAACTCTTTTCGGGCTTACTTATACCATTTACAGTAAATTATCGAGCGCTGCTTGTGGAAACGAAAAGCCGACACAATGATAAAATAAAACGACAAAAAGTAAAATAAAATACGTTAGATCAGAAACCATATTACGTTATCCATTTATAAATTTGCACATCATAAAATAATTTAATTAGTGATAAGTTAATTTATTCAATACAAACTATATACCGACTTTATAATCGCATGCGCCTCATGAAATGAATTTTTATTGTATGAATTTCATTGTGTCGGCTTTTCGTTTCCACCTGACAATTATTATCTCGTAGACCTCTTGACTTTTCTAATGAAATTTTCTAATTAAATTCAACCGGTTATTAGATACCATACATAAAATTTGATGGTTAATTTTTTGTTCAAACAATTGTCAATTTATATGTACTGAAGATGACCCAAAAAAAGGACCGAAACGTATATTTATAATATTTCTTTAAATAATATACGTTTGTCATATAAATAATCTGTGTTGGCTCGTAATGGCATTTCCTTTATGTGCATATTAAGTCCAAGTGTATGCAATTTTAATTTATACAATATAAAAATTGCGTTTAAATACAGAAAAATGTTAGTACATTTAATATTAAAGGCACGCCAAGAGTACGAGTAAATATCGAATGAAAATTTAATATCAGTTTAATACGTTTAGTAACATAAGGTACGTTCCGTATCGCGCATGATGCGCATGATGCATCCATTGTCCTTGTTTAACATTTGGTGAGCAATAAGGATAAACGATGCCTTATGCGCATCATGCGAGAAACGGAACGCACCCATATATAACATAAAGAAAAAAAGAAAGAGGAGCACAAAGAGAGTGAAGACAGCACAGATATCGAATAATTTTATACCTTGTACTGCTGTCATATTGCGCTGCTGAATTACGCTGTAAAAAAAATATAAAATAAATAAAATTTACGTTATAAAATAAATAAAATTATACGAGATTAAATAATGATGCTTTTAACACTTTGCTAATTTCTCGTATTATCCGAGTAAAGTAAAGGATGCTTATACCATATTATACGAATATGAAATACTACACTATCTTGTTAGAGCTCCGAATACAAAGAGTTCGTTCTCTAGACGACGTAAAGTTCAACGTATTAATATTTCCGCGTTAGTGTCACAGACGGTCATTTCGTTGTATGACGTTGCGTAAGGCTACATAACGTAATGTTATTTTCTACAGCGTTCGACCGCAGACTGCACATACCTGACGAAGTATAAAGTGACTCATGAGAAGTATAAAGAAACAGCTTACAATCTTTTACATTACATACATTTTATTCAAAAATATTTCAATCTGAAAAATACATGTTACTTTTTTAGCTATCTTTTTTTCGTTATCACTATACAATAACAATTCTCTTACGGGATAAATGCATAAAGTCTTGTAAACGCACATCCACTGTTCGAAACAGTGCTTAAACACGAATCCTATAAATGCACATTCATTGTTTAAAAAGTTCTATTACCTTATCTCTTTAATCTCAATGAGAAAAATTGAGAAATATCATCACGAAAACCATCTCGAAAAAGATGTCTCATTGCTCCTTCTTTATGCAAAGATCCTTTATTCTCTCAATAATTATACTATCAAGGTGACTTACAAAAAATTAAAAAAAAAAAAAAGACCCCAGCGCGAATGACCTAGAATACTGCTATTTGACATACGCGTGTGTGTATGAAGTCTTTGGTTGTATTACGTGATACCAGAGTCTGGTATGTGTTTTTAATATCGTCTTCTAATTCATATACTAACGCATACATACAGTTGCACATGCTGCAAATATATAAGAAAACATTAGATAACTATAATTATAATCGTCGTGAATATACAGCGCATGGAAGTTTTCAACAATTTCTCGCTCTAATATACATACAAATTAAAATTGAAGTGTCGAATAGACGGGTATCTTAAAAATAATGCCAAATAAAAAAAACGCTGATCTTCTGATATACAAAACTATCAATTTAACTTTCGTCACTTAATAATTTTTTTAAGTAATCCCAAACTTATATTTTTTTTAAATTTTATTTAAGTAAATACTAATAAGGTAAAACATGATGTAAAAAAATAGTATTTCTCGAAATTATGTATATAAATAACAAATTCTACAAAAGAAATGATTTATTGGAAATTAATATAAAATTTTATCAAACAAACAAACATTTGTTATATTTCATCAACCAGCGACATCTTTTTGAGACCATAAAAATCAATCTTCAAGATTATGAGATGATAGAATGGAATGATGAATGATTTACTTAGAAAAAAAATAAGAAATGATAGATCCAAATAAAAAATTATTTTGAAAAATTATATTAACAAATCAATGAAAATTATTCGAAGAAATGTCGTTTAACACATTTTAGCACATTTTGTCACCTATAAGAATATCAATTTTAAATCACAAAAACTAAAATATTTGTTTGGAAAATATTTCTGAATTATATCAACATGAATCTATAAATATTATTCAAGACATCTATTAGGATGAAATACTGTACTGATATTTCTCGGATATTTTTGGTCAAATTATTCTGAACAAGTGCACCTCGACATTGATCGTAATAATTTGCCACAATTGCGTGTGTTTTACCTGACAATAATATGTACAACTTTTTAACAAATTTTTTGGCAGTATATCATTTATTATTTCCGTTTATCATTAACAGTACCTCAATGTCCGTAACAAATTTTAAATTTCTGTTTAAACCTTCCGTACCTCCGGATACTGATTTCAAATTTACTATTAAAATTTAAATTCAAAATAGCGGATTCAAGATGACGGTCATAAAAAGCTGAAATATCGGTATATTTAAAATATGAGCTTGGATGTTTTTTAAATACATATCGTAGCATACACGTACAAATACACGCAAACACACAACTATTCAACCTAAAATATATTTAGAACGATAAAAGTTCTCCGAATGTGACGAATGTAGGATTACATAAACAATAAAAAGGATTATGTAGACTATCATAATATTTATAATAATAAAATTGTAATCACATTTAAATAAAACTATAATTAACATCAATTCAATGACCTTTCGATATAAACGGTTATTATTTACTATCCAAAAAATTTATTTTACAAAGTTTAGATAATTATATTTTATTGAAAACACTACATTTTAAAGTGTGCGTTTTTTTTTACATGTAGCCTAAACTTTCTTCTTTAAAACAAATCAAGGTAAAAGTCGATAGAATTACTTATTTAAAAGTTATAATTTTTTTCGTCGTTGTTGCATATATGTCTCGGAGATACGAAAGGGTTAATATATCAGTTCAATTGTATGTATTGTATCAGAAATTGACTAAATTCATAGTATTGTGCCATTATGATCTCGCCACATATTTAGCTTATTTGTTTTCCGAATTAATATAATAAAAATATTGTATATACAACAAAAATAGTACGTATGATAAAGAGCGAGAAACTTCCAAATATCTGAACCACAGAATGATTCGATAGCAATCTTCTCTCAAGAGAGACCCTTTTCACTCACAAATCGGTAAATTTACTTCCGTTTCAATATTTTAACAATATCTTTCAAAAGTATTCTTATATTTCATTATTTATGCAGGTTTAGTGTGTTTTAGTTATCGCGAAACAGTCCAAATGTCCAAAATAAGTTTTTGCTTAATGCAAGTAGGCATTAAAATTAAAAATTACGACACGGACTAGAATTGTTGACAATAACTAATATTTCCTATAGCTAACTTAAGTAAGGCAGACAAGCGTGCAATTACATAAATTGGCCTTCCCTTACTTATTAATTCTTCTTATCAATTTTTTATTTACGTTTTAAAAGGTTCATTTTATATAGGACGCAAGAAAAATCTTGGAATAAATTTTAAAATACATCCTATGTCTCTAAAATTCCAAGAGTTAAGGCGATTAGAGTAATATAGTTAACATATTAGTCATATTCATTCCTTCGAAATTTAATTTAAGAAAAACTACAATATGCGCTCGCTCACATGTTGAGTATGTTGTGATTACTAAGTGAGTTTAAAAAAGAAATTTTTACTTGAAACAAAATTTTATCAAAAAAAGCTTTTCATCAAAAAAAACTTTAAATCAATATTTTCTTGAAACTGTAAAAGACAATTTTTGAAAAATAAAAATGATATAAAATGGAGAAAATGATGGAAAGATGACAATGGAAAGACAAAGATGATAAATTCAAGTAATCACATCTTATCTCATAGCTTAGCACATAATTATTTCGACGTTTTAACGCATTAAAGATGTGAGATTGATGTATAATACACAGAACTCCTCTATTCTAAGTTTTCCTCTACTCTAAGTTAGCTATCTCCTCTAAACTGAATTTCTCCTTTTGTATTGCTTCAGTATGCTTGTATTATATGCATCAATCAGCATCAAGCAAAAAACAGATTGTGCAATATCTTCTAAAAATGAGGACTGTAAGAAGAAATTGTAGAATAGAGAAAATATGCTCGGTCCCGATGACTTTAGAATAGAGGAGCTGGACTATATGATATTTTTATTTCATGATTCGCATTTTTTTTACTATGTATGCTTTTAATTCAATGTCAAAACGTTCCTCATCGTATTAAAATTAAACTATAAATCTGAAATAGTCATAGCTGTTTCAATGACAAAATATGAATTCAAAAATTGAAATTACCTACGGCTCCAGCATCATCAATCATATATTGCTTTGGAACATACATGGATTTTATCTACAACTAAGACGGCATTAAATACCTTGCATTTTCATTCATATTACTGCTCTGAGCCTGTTCAGACAGATTTACATCTTTCATCACTTGTTCTTTAAGAGTAGCAAACGTGTACAATAAATTCGGATTTTTTTGAATACTCTGAAGGTGCTGTAAAAGAGCGGTTTCCTGCTTTATTAAGGAACCGTCCTTTAAAATATAACTCACCTCCTGCTTAGGCGTTGCCGCGATATCGGTACTATTATCGAATACTCTTGTATCTTTTTGATCGGTAAAATAAGAATCCTCCTTTTTATTTTTACGAATGCCAAAATGCGTTTGGAAGTGCTTATTTAAATGGTCCTTGCGCGAAAACGCTTTCTGGCACATGGTGCATGGAAAATCCTTATTGCCGGAATGGATGACACTATGTCTTGTTAAGTGTTCATTTCTCTTGAACGCCTTCTGGCATACCTCACATTTAAAAGGTCGCTCGTTCGAATGACCTCGCATGTGCTGATCAAGATGCTCCTTTCTTTTCAACATGGCACCACATTCTTTGCATTGGTATTTTCGTTCCTGGAATAAACCAAAACTTTTTACTTAATACATATTTTCTTTATCTAGTTTCCAAAGATAATAAAATATATATGTACCTGAAGATGAGCCTGTATATGTTGTTCGATGTCTGCCTTGTCTGGAAACCCTAAATTGCATTCTGGGCAACAGTAAAGCGTAGTTCCGTCGTAGGTAACGGTGATTTTAATCTCGCTAATTTTCGCTCGAAATTTCGATTTTTTTTCGATTTTTGGCAAATCGGTTTGTACTTGCTGCTCGACTTTTAAGACATTTCGCAAATTGTTTTCAATTTCTTGTTCATTTTGCAAATGTAGATCACTCGGATTAACAGTCACTGTCATTTGATCCGAGTTTGCGAAATTGTTGCTATTTTGTAGATAAATGTTTCTGATATTTGGTATATTTAAAATATTATTCTGCACATGCTCTACTTTCTCTTCCCGTGTCTTCTCCTTTTTTACTTGTTCTGCACACAGTTCAAACGCTTCTCGCAGAGAAAATTCAGATGGTAATTTCTGTAAATATTCAGCCATGGCTGCTGCTGTTTGGTGTTGCTTTAACAGAATTTCAGATTCCTACAACAGAAACAAATAAATACATGAGTAATATAGAAATAATTTAAAGAATTAACAATATTCAAAGAATATCTCACCTTGTCTGAATTTTTCTCCTCTTTAGACTGGATATCTATCCCTTGCTTTACAGTTACAGTATCTGCCTGAGATGTGGAAGGTAAGTATAGACTATTAATAAAATTAAAACTACTCGATTGTGCACCGAGTGTCATGTTATTTTGACTATAACTAGGGACATTAATTATCTGGTTAAGCACTTGCTTCTCGCACAATTGAATCAAAGTATCCTGCCAGCCAGGTAAAGGTGTCGCAAGGTATTTGCTGAGTGTACTTGTCTACGAGAAAGGGAATTCAAAAAAATTTTAATGTCAAATCAAAATTAACGAGAAAGAGGAAATGCAGTACAAAAAACAAAGCAGAAGAAAACTCACCGAAGTCTCTTGCGGAGACGTGACCGCTTGGACAGTGGTTTGCACCTCCTGCGATTGCATGCTACGGCTATCAGCCGCGGCGATGGCAGCGATCGCAGCGGCTGCGGCAGTCGGCATTGAACGCAGCTCAGAGAACTGCGGTAACGTTAGAGGACATTTAACGAGATCGCGCGATGCTCCGTTCCCGGGTAAATCCATAACGCCACGCGTAATAACCTGTGCAAAGAATATGCTCGAGATGTAGCGTTCCTAACCTACAAATGGATAACCTGACCGCGTGGAGCGACGAGATCGGATTAGATCAGCTAAATCTCGCGCAGCAGAGCTACTCAACGAGTTAGGATATCATCTATGATGTCATCGTGCGATACATCAACGCAGTGCCTTACCTAGTTAAAATTAACTATGTTCAAAGACCGCGAAACACATTCGCGGACAGCGTCGTTCCATATGATTCTATGATCAAATGATCAACATGGCGACACGCGCGCACTCGCCACTGTTGCAAAGCGCCATGAAGTTGCCGTGGATGGTGAGCGAATGAAATTTCTCTTTACCGTAAGTAGCACGAGATAAATTGCCGGCGCTTGAACAAATTTTAATAATACGCAATTTTATATTGCAATTTCGATAAGACGTAACTTTTTTGTGATGGATTATAATTGATTTCTCAAGCTGAGTGCTCGAACATAAGAAGAATATATCTTTCGAAATTTGGCTAGCCTGGAGCGTCCCTTTTTGTTTACACTAGACTCTCGTCAAACTTCACGTTGATGACAATCTTGTGCGTTGGTATTGGTTGGTATTTGTTGAGGACGTTAAAGTTTTCTTGGAACACAAAGTACGTTGTTGAAAACAAAAGTTGATAGAGACAACACAACAATTTCAATGAGTTTTTACCGTTGATGAGTTTCATATAAAAATTGCAGCTGAAGATTGTGAATAAATGTTAAATAAAATAAAAAAAGATAGGTTAAAAAACCGTATTTCACACCCAAACGATTATGTGATATATATGAAAAAAAAAATTTATAATTAAATTTTCAGTGTTGCGTTATTTATAATGCTCTAATATTATGTTTAAACTCAATTTAATTTATAGCTTGAATTATCAACATATTCTGGATTATTATATCATTGTTTATATTTAATTTATTTTTAATTAATGTGTAAATTGGATTATTGTAATGATGGTATCTTGTACAATTAAAATGATCCAATTTTGCAATATGATGTTAATGATAATATGCTTTAAGTTCTAAACACAGAGCAGAGACCCTGAATGACAACCTAAAAAAATTATGCAAGAAAAGAATGTTGTTAGTATGCATTGATGAAGATTTTAGAAGGATGGACACTGAAGTGAACAAGTTATGTTCACAATTCTGTAAGTATATGTTGCATATGAGTAGAAATATTAGGATTGTTTTTTAGCTAAACTTCTTACACACAGACTTCTTCTCTTACTTTTTTCTCTTTTCAATATGAAAAGAAAAAGAGAAAAATGAACTGTCTAGCTGAAAAGAACAGACCTGTAAATCTCTTTCTTATTAATTTAACTTAATTTTTATTATCTCTTTACAGATTAATAGAGTTGATTTGAGATCTTTGATAAATTGCCGCAATCGCAAGAATCAAAACAATTATTACACAAGAAAGTACATCAATTTATAAAAATTACGCAACGATTCATCTGTTGTTTTGTGTCTAGAGTACTTTTACATCAATCCAAAACGTGCAACTGTACTAATCCCCAATATGTTAGCGTCTAGAAAACTTACGTTAACATCTAAGAAACCCCAAGATCAACGCCTGAAATTTGTGCCTAGAAAGCCAGTAAAGGGTTGTTATTGTTCCGAGGCGATCAAGAAGCATGCAAAATCATCGAGAATGCGGCATAAACCAGCATTGCCCTGCCATTGCCAAAGTGAACTAGAAATCAAACCTGTCGAAAAAATTGGCGACACAGCAGCATCAACTTCACCGATCAGCTGTGAGACGCTTCGAAGAGTTCAGAAAATCGACTACGCGCCCAGATCTCAATTCCTTCGCAATGTGCAAAGCAAGATCTATGAGTTACACACTGCAGATAAGGAAAACTCTTTGTGTCCGCGATCATCCAGTTACCATCGATTTATGACAAACGCGAGGATCCAAGATACCGTCACTGATCAAAGAACGGCAATGTCGAGTGAATGCGTTGGGAGGCAAAAATCGCCAACGGCGCCTGCAAATTCATTGGTGAGCGAACAAAACGGGTTCGATGATATCACCTGTGCATCGAGTAAAAGAACTCAAGTGTCTCCGCGAAAGTTGTCAAAGTCAACATTACGAAAGACTATCAGATCCAGGAGACATATACCAGAGTCAAGCGAAAGACCCGCGTCAAAATCACTGATGCGAGGTAAACGAACAGCGCGATTACATAAGCAAGATTGTTCTTGTTGCTGCAAAAGTGAACTGGAGAGGAAGACTGCGAAGCTGCGCGGTGATAAACGTGCAGAGAGTGATTTACTGGAATATTGTGAACGATGTTTAAGGCACTACGATGATCTTGCAGTCGATGATTCCATGGATCGGGAAGTAGAGAACCTGAAAAAGTACCGAGAACAAAACTATTTTGAAACTCATGGCTCAAGCCACACTTTAACATCATCCAAATCATCAGGATCGTTACAACAATATCTGCTGAACGAGCGATTGTTTCCGGAGCCGGTAGGCAAAATTCACAGACAGGATCTAGTGGTGACGATGCCGTTGTGCGCAACAACGCAAAGGAAGCGCGTTCATTACTTTCCCAGATACATAGTGCGACAAGAAAAAAGTACCTGCAATACCAATTACAGACGTAAACGATGCCAAAGCTGTCCTCTCACCGGACACGCCATTGATCTCGGAATTCTGAAAGCTAGACCGCCGTTAAATAGCCTAGCACTCAAGTACCAGAAAAGAGCTTTTTAACTGAAGTATATTCTCAAACTTTAATTTTTATTATAAACTTTAGGATCCATATAGAACAACATAGGCTTCTTTTATCTCAAAGATTTAGTAATGAAAATTTCAACACTGATCATGTCCCAACTTTTATATGTCTACCCTTTTACGCTATATGTAAATATGTCTTATATACAAATACATTTTATATCATCATTTTATTTCTGGTGATTAAAGCTGACATCATGATATTAAATTTATCTGTGGCTTTTTTGTTTCGACAAATCCATTTCATTTGCGAAATTCTTAGATTGCATATATATCTATAATTATTTTCTTATTTTATTTGAAATTAATAGTATTTTATATTGTAATGTCTAATTTATTATATGCATTAAAGAAATTTTTAACATAATTATAATTTTATTTTACAGTATTTAATATTAACATATTACAAGCTTATATTTTGATAATTGCAATTTTAATGCTTAAAAAATATATCTTTTGGTTACGTATATTTGTTTCAAAATAAAATGCAAGAAAAATAATCAAAAGTATAAGTGTAAAATGGAGTAACAAAGAATATAAAATATTTAATGCATTAAATGTTGATTAGTATACATGGCATAACTGATTTAATTTGTATAAAAAAAAAAATTACAAATTTCTGTTTCCTTTTTACTACATATATTAAATTCGTAAATTTGTATGTCTTACTATATAAAACATGTATGTCTCTACTAGAGAGTGACTCATAGATCATTTTCAATAATCATAAATCATTTTCAATAATGTCGAGGCTATTGTCAAGTCTTCTCTGAAATTTCATGAAGTCATTCCATTGGACGTGCTTTTCACTTTGTGTGTGTGAATTGAGACAAATAAATCATTTAAATATCACAATTAAATATATGTATATTTATATTTTTTTGTAATTTAGAAATAAAAATATAAACGTATGCGAATTAGAAATTGTAATTTCTAAATGAAATATATCACTTATATTTAAATAAAACGCAAAAGATATTCAATGGAAAAATAAAATAACGAATTATTTTATAAAGGAGGGTAGGTTTCGAGGGTTTCGAGACCATTCGGGGATCGTTTTATTTCTTATAGAAGGTTTTACCTTCACAAAGGATAGGATCGATGTAATTTCAAAGCATTTAAATCATTTTGTGCTAACTTATTCACTATTTACTGAATACTGTATATGATAGTAAGAATTACAATGCGTAAGTAAATGCATACATGCGTCATTGTCAAACAAACCTTTGTCAAGATTAAAATCCGGCAGAGCAAACGTGTATAAATGTAAAAATATATGATTTAAATCCTCGTATGTTTTTAACAAAATAATTCTTGATGCGAATTCAAGACTTAATTCGAGCTATATAATATTTAATAATTATTCACTTAAATTACATAAGAATCAAAATTATATATAAAATTAAAACCAACTAAAGTCTCGTAAAAGTCTATCAACGATATACAAACGTAACGTTTCGGCTTACTAAGCTTTCTTCTCTCAGTGTATCTTAACCAATTAATTAATAACAGTATTAGTATATATTAGATTGACATACAGTGATCAGATATCAGTCCTAATGGATAATTCGTCAAAATCTTAAAATAGGTCAAATCCATTATAGTAAGGACTAGCTCTTGGTCACAGATTGTTCTTCTCATTTTTGCAAATCTCCAAATTCATCGGTGGACGTCGAGAATTCAGCTTGTCACAGACTCACACAACCATTGAGAGTTCATTATATTTCTGTATTCTATGATATTCTAAATATAATGAATATTTTGGTTACTATAAAATATGTTCATGTAATAAAATAAATTAAATCAAAACCAATGCCAACTTACATCTTATATATCTAAAATACTGTCTATGAAATCACAATGTAAATCCATTAGAGAAGAATATACTGACAAGTTAAGTGTTGCTCATTTGAAATTCAACTGATCGTTGTGTAGGTCATATAAATAATTCTATCTATTCCCAATGTATTGTCAAGTCTGTTCAAACTGTTACAATTTTTCGTTCACAAATGTCAACAAGTATGTTCGAATAAGATTTGTCCAATAATTCAGTATCTTTCATTAAATTCAGTCCGTTTTTTTGTTCTTTAATATGTATCATTTCTTGAAATGTTCCTTTTCTTATAATTCTTTTCAAAATCAAGAATGCTAACTTCTTCCCAATTAAAATCATGATTAGTTTCATTAATGTGTTTGGAGATTACCGAATGTTTGGATTGGTCTAATTTTATATTATTACGATGCTCCTTAATTCTCGTCTGTAATTGTCTTTTAGTTTGCCCAAAATAAGACGCATCGCAATTGTTACAATTTATTTTATATATAACATTATTGTTTTTATTGTGTTGATTTCTATCTTTGTGAACTTTTATAAATCTGTTAAGCTTGTTAATACATCTGTAGCCTATCGTATTATTGGATTTATTAACAGATCTCGAAATTTTATTACAAATCGTTTTAACATAAGGGAAAACAATAAGTTGTCTTAATTCCATTCCGATAATAGATTTATCTAATGTGGTTTTTTTACATGCCAACGCTTTTATTCTGTATAAATGTAGTTTGGTTCGAGACAAATCTCATAATTCTGAAATTTATTTGCAGTGCCTGCACGTTTGCAATTCTTTTGTTATTTATTTTCACTTCAGATATTATAACATTTGTGAATCATTGCAAGCGTTGATGCTACAGTCCACTGAGTCCACAGATGTCTGTGCTACAGTCATTTCAAAGTAATTTCATTCGATTTAAATTGACTTATTCAAGATAAAGCATAACTGTTATTGCATATTATTGCATAAGAGAAAAAATCCCAGTAAACGAGAATAAATTAAAATAGATAGAAATGAATTTATTTTGACATTTTCGAATTCTGATTTTTCGAATTTATTTGAATCCATGAATACATCTGATTTCGGCATGGTGAATAGCTCTTTCGTATTTTAATTAATTTCAATCAAAAAATAATATAATACGGACATGAATACATCCAAATTTGACACGATGAATAATTTATTTCGTATTTTAACTCATTTCACGGACATGAATCATCATTTAAATTCAACATGATAAATAATACATTTCGTATTTCAATTAATTTCAATAAAAAAATATAATAATAATAAATATATTCTATGTTTATTTGAGTCCAAAAATATTTATATTATAGTAAAATTAGCTATGAACACATCCCAGTTAAAAATTATGAATAAAAAGTCTCTTTGAATTCATTTCAATTAAAAAAAATTTTCAAAGCATTTAAATCATTTTGTGCTAACTTATTCATTATTTGTCGAATACTGTATAGGATAATAAGAATCGCAAGCGTAAGTAAATGCATAAGCGCAACATTTAGCTAATTTGTAAGCTATGAATACAGCACAATTCAAAATTATGAAAATACACACTTTTGTTTAAATAAAAAGGTTATAAATAGGAAATATGTAAGCCCTGAATTTATATCCGAATACAGTATTAAATAGGAATATTCCTGTTTCGATCGAAATGAATATAAAAATACTGTTCTATTTAGAAAGAAAGAATTATAAATGTTCATGAACAGAAATTAATTTATGCCCTTTATGATAAGATATTAATTCATTTTAATTCATTTCAATCCAGTTCCGGGCTCTAAAGCGCGAACTCGGATAAATTAAAAAATGAATTGCAATTTTTAATTAATTTCAATCCATTCTCGTTTACTGGGAACATTAGATATTTCAATTTGATTTCTTGTTAAGCGATTGAGAAAATATTTGTAAAATAATTTCATAACTGAACGATCAAAAACAACCTTTTTTTATTATAAATATTCTTGTAATTTTTTTATGTATTATAACACTTTGATAAAAAGATAGCAAAATTCGATATATTTTGATTATGAATAGATATAGATGTGGCTACACTGTATAGTTTAAATCCATTCAGATAATGTTTGATCTTTTTTCATACATAATTACATACATAAAATAAATTATGTCTTCAGTAATAGGTACATTAAATAATTATAAGTAGATAAGTCACAGTGACTGATAGCTGACCTATCCCGGACATGTTGCTGGACAATAACAGGTGTTCACTTTCTATGCCTCACCCTGAATGCATGTGTACATATGCAATATACATACATATACAGTATATATAAACGATGTGCAGTATAGAAACATGGTGGGGCAAGCAGTGCTTAAATAGCCCGCCTAGATTGTCTACGTCTTCCAGTTCATATTAAACGATTGCTGAATATTTTCATATAAGAACTTCCTTCTTACAATTAGTCGAACGAAAGATAAAATTCAGAAGTGATGAAGTTGATCCTCTTGCTCGCGGTGATTGTAAGCGCGACGGCATTGGATCTTCGTAAGTAACATAATGTGTACTTTCCTCTCAAATTATTTTATGAAGAATATCGCTTTTATAACAAAATTTATTAAAGCTATTAAATGTTTGAGTAAATATATTAACGTTTTGAAATTTTTTTAATTATAATAAAACTTTAAACTTTTCAGTTATAAAATAAAATTGAAGTTAAATTTTATTATATGTTAAATATTTTTATATTTTTATATAAATAAAATAAGCTTTCGCGATTATTTATATTTTTAATAGAATATAAACTATAAAACACCGAAACTACATCTTATTTATTTATATTTTTCTTTGTATATTGAATTAGTAATAATATTATATAATAATACTTCAGTTGTATTAAAATTAGTCACGATTATTCAAGTTTTTCTCGGTCTTTGCCCGAGTTTTTCTTATCCAATAACTGTCAATCAAGTTACATCTAATACGTTATTCTACTACTGTGAATCAGTTGTTGACGGAAAAAAACTTAAATAAAAATCAAAATTTTAATATAATTATAGACTATATTTTAAAATGTTGTTTTGTATTTTTATTGAATTTAATACAATAAATTTTGATTTAAAATATTTAAAAAATTATTTAAAGAAACTAAAATTTAGTTTGATGCTAAATAGAAAATTGAATTGTAAGTTTTGTTTATCAAATATAATTTCAATAATAGTATATGTAATAATTATTATATATGTACACTCGCGGACAGAAATGCCTTTACACATTCAAAATGGA